GGCGGCATGCCACACCCTCCCGCCAGAGGTGGGTTTCAACAGGTTCTGACCAGTTCTGGAGAACCGGTAGCAGAAATTTTGAGTAGTTCGGAGAACCGATAGTAAAAATTCTGACTGGCCTCGCCCCCATCTATTCTCTGCCTTCCGAGTCCCAGCTGATTGGGAGGAAATGGGGATTTTGCAGTAATCTTCCCCTGGATTGGGGAGGGAATGGAGATTTTACAGTTTCCTTCCCCTGGAATGGAGTGGGAATGGAGATTTTACAGTATCCTTCCCCTGCCACGCCCACCATTGCCACAAGCCATGCCACGCCCACCAAGCCACACCCACAGAACCGATAATAAAAAAATTTGAATCCCACCACTGCCTCCCGCACCCCGTTTCGGGCCTAGTAGGCCTCCCTGCACTTACCTGGGAGCCAAAACTGGGCGCATGGAGACTCCTGGAAGGGGCGGGGTGGGGAGGGGCGGGGCGGTTAACAACCGGTTCACTCAAACCAGACCGAACCAGTTGAATCCCACCACTGACGATTGGCCCAACAAGTGGCAAATAAGGGAAAGTCACATGATCTTGACTAGGCCTACAATTTTACTTCAGTTTTCCTTTCCTCCTTGCTGCAGGTAGTCGATTTACAAGTCAGTTTAGTGACTGTTCAAAGTTACAACGGCACTGAAATAAGTGACCTATGACCGTTTTTCACACTTAACAACCTATGTAGCATCCCTGTGGTCATGTGATCAAAATTCAGACCCTTGGCAACTGACTCATATTTATGATAATTGCGGTGTCTTGCGGTCATGTGATCTCTTTTTGCGACCTTCTGACAAACAAACTTCATGGGGAAGCCAAATTCACTGAACAATCGAGTTAGTAATTTTAACAGCTGCAGTGATTCACTTAACAAACATGGCAAGAAAAGTCGTAAAGTGGGGCACAATTCACTTGACAATTTCTCACTTAGCAACAGAAATTTTGGGCTCAATTGTGGTTATACGTTGAGGACTACCTGTACTATTGCTATAATTATTATATTGCAACCTTTCTTTAAAAAAAACTACAGCATGCCTTGCAATACACATAAGCTTATTTTAGGAGCTTTAGAAATCATGCTAATACTTACGTGAGACAGTTGAGATGTTCCTTCTTGAAACACCCTTGTATTATTAATTCCCAATTCTTAAGAAAGCACCCACTTTTTCCCACTTCTTTGCTCTTTATGGTCTTTGCAAATGTTTGATATACCTTTGAGGATGGTACCTCCATTGGCACAATTTACATTTTAAGGCCAAATACTCTGTGGGCAAATATATATATTTGCCCACAGAGTATTTGGCCTTAAAATGTAAATTGTGCCAATGGAGGTACCATCCTATATCTATATCTATATCTATATCTATATCTATATCTATATCTATATCTATAGATATAGATATAGATATAGATATAGATATAGATAGATAGATAGATAGATAGATAGATAGATAGATAGATAGATAGATAGATAGATATAGATATAGATATATTTATATATTTATATATATAAATTTGATTTATATGCCGCCCTTCTTCGGAGACTCAGGGCGGCTTACAATGCGTTAAGCAATAGCCTTCATACTTTTGTATATTTATACAAAGTCAGCTTATTGCCCCCACAAACTGGGTCCTCATTTCACCGACCTTAGAAAGGATGGAAGGCTGAGTCAACCTTGAGCCTTGGAGAGATTCGAACCAGCAGTAAATTGCAGGCAGCTGTGTTAGGAATCTTTAGACAGTTGCAAATGAATACAATGGAAAGAAATAAATAAATCCTACATTTAGAGATGTTCAGTAATGTAAAACTAAAATGCCCATTTTCCCATATCTTCACTTTTAAGATTCTGAACTGAAAGATAATAAAATTACAAAAAAATTGCCTTTTTAAATGCTTGGAGTCACGATAGGACCCAGTGCTAAGACTGCATTGCAAGCCATAACACCTTGGCTATAAATGGATTTGTGCAAAGGGAAAAAGGTGGTTAGAAATATATGTAAAATGGCTTTATCAGGTAATAAGCACTCTTGGTAGCTTGATCGTTTGATGAGGTAGGAAAGAAAACAGCAATGAGATTTTTCTGTTAAAATGATTCTAATAAATCACTCCATTCTCCTACCATCACTTCATGTTAAGAGAGAAACAGCTTGAAAATTCTACTGGTGAAATGCTTTGCTTTTTCCTATGCTAAGTCAGGAACTTTCTTTTTCATTTAAATTTTTTTTTTAAAGTGGGGGTGACATGATAACACCAGAATCTCAGGAGCTGCCACAAAGAGGAGGGGGTCAACCTATTCTCCAAAGCACCTGAAGGCAGGGCAAGAAGCAATGGATGGAAACTAATCAAGCAGAGAAGCAACCTAGAATTGAGGAGAAATTTCCTAACAGTGAGACCAATTAATCAGTGGAACAGCTTGCCTCCAGAAGTTGTGACTCTCCAACATTGGAGGTTTTTAAGAAGAGATTGGACAATCATTTGCCTAAAATGGTATAGGACAGTGATGGCTAACCTTTTTGCCATCGTGTGCCAGGAGGGGGGGGGCGGGAGGGTCGCGCGCGCGCATGCGCGTGCCCACACGCATGCATGCGCAACCCCTTCCCCCTCCCCCCCCGCTCCTGGCACATGATGGCCTGGTAGGCCCGTTTTTCTTTCTTACCTGGTTCCAGATCCTCTCTGTGTATCTGGGAAGGGCAAAAACAGCCTTTCCCACTCCCTTGGAGGCCCTACGGAGGCTGAAAGGGCCCATTTCCCCAACTCTCGGTGGGACAGGAAGTGACATTTTTTGCTGTCCCCAGCCTCCAGAACCTCTCTAGGAGTCTGTAGGAGCCTCTCTAGGAGTCTCTGGAGGCTGGGGACAGGAAAAAACATCACTTCCTGTCCCACCGGGAGTCGGGAAATGGGCCCTTTCAGCCTCCGTAGGGCCTCCAAGGAGTGGGAAAGACTGTTTTTGCCCTTCCCAGATACACAGAGAGGATCTGGAGCCAGGTAAGAAAGAAAAACGGGCCTTCCCCCCCCCAGGCCCTCCAGACGCAGGAAACAGCCTGTTTCCCTACTTCTGGTGGGCCCAGAAGGCCCGAAAATCAGCTGGCCGGCGCGCGCATGCGCCCCAGAGCTGAGCTGGCGTGCCCACTAATATGGTTCCGCGTGCCACCTGTGGCATGCGTGCCATAGGTTCGCCATCCCGGGTATAGGGTCTCCTGCTTGAGCAGGGGGTTGGACTAGAAGACCTCCAAGGTCCCTTCCAACTATTATTCTGTTAATGCGTGTTAGAGTGATCTCTAACCGGTAAATGTTGATACTGTCTTTTTTGTTTTTGCATTTCTTTTACTACTAGTTTGTTTATTGTTTATCAACCGTAACACTACTAATGAAAGCAATTCCTGTCATGTGGTATTTTTTTTTTTGTAAGGGCAAACAGGTCACACAATGCCTGAAGCTAAAATCACATTAAGGCTCAGTATACCATATTGCGCGTCCTGCATTAAGGCATCGTATGATGTTTACAACCAGCCCGTGAATTTTATGGATACTTAACAGCATTGAGAACCAAGCTATAGGGCTTAGGCAATAAAATACAGCTTATCATGGGAGGAACTCCATGCCCCTATTGGTTTTCTGTCTACATGAAAAGGCAAAAGACTACATTTCTGCTTCAGCTTTCACTCTTTTACTTTTTAAAAATTCACAATGTCATCAAAGAGTTAAGATATAATTTCACCAAAATGCGCCAAGCCAAATTTAGGGGTTGCCTTTGGGATATCTTCAAGGGTTCGGGGATCCTATTTTAGGCATCGTCTGACTATAGATGTTGTGGCTCCGTTACCTGAGCCTGTGTCATCGGCAGGAGAGGACTCCGAGAGTGAAGGAGAGGAGTTGGCAAGGCCTCCCTCTCCAGGACCCTCCTCTCTGGCAATGCCTTTGGTGTCCGCCGAAGGGCAAGAGATAGAGCCGGGTCCAAGCACGTCCACGCAGCCACAGGTGGACAGTGATGAGGGTAATGAGTCTTGGCTGGATCCTCGGCAGCGTCGCAGAGATAAGTGCGTGCAACAGAAGGCATGCCAGAGATTAGGCTGAGTCACTGGACCACACCCCACAGGGTATAAAAGAGGGTGAGGTGGCCATTCAGACTCTGTGACGGACAAAACTAACTACTACCGAGTCACACTGCATCTTTGGAAACAACATTATCAGCCTTGGATTTATTTTACGAACTGGACAATTCTTGACTGTGTGTATTTTGTTTATTGAGTAAAGTTCTTGGCAAGCAGCTACTGGGTTGCTGCCAAGCGTCTTATCGGAAGAATTGGTTGTCTGCCAGTTTATTTAACCCCCCGCTGTCTGTTTGTGTGCGTGTGTGAGACGGGGACAGAACAATAGACACATGAAAGAGCTGGGTTACCTTCCCTTATTATTGCAGTGTATCTCAAAATTTGGATACTGTATAGTCAATTATTGCAGCTCCCAAACCTTTAGGGCACCAGGGACCAGTTCTGTGGAAAGAGGTTTTTTCGTGAATCGGAGGGTGTGTGGTTTTGCTTGCTGCCTGCATTCCGTGGATGGGCTTCATTTGTTTGTGCGGCCTAGTTTCTGGCATGCCACGGCCCAGTGCCAGTCCACTGGTTTGGGGACCCCTGGTCAATGAAATTAAAAATAGTTTGGGTATTTGCATTTCATCATGTGGTAAACCGTTGTTTTAGTATACTGGACTCAGGACTTCTTTAAAAAGCGTAGACACTTTTAAAAATCAACATTAATGCTGTCCGAAATTCCTACTATTTTACTAGTACAAACATATCCGATGTGAACTTAAAAAGTTACCTTAAATTATTCATTGGTAAAGCCTCGTCTGGAGAAAGGAACTATTCTGTTTATATTCTAGCTTAATTCTGAGGAAAACATTATCTACTCTCTGTCGTTTTCCACCACAGAATGGTTTCAAGAGTAAATCAGGAGGAAAGCCTTTTATGTAAGACGTGGTTCTCTTTATTCCAAAAATAAATACTTTTTTTAATCAAAGGTTTTTCAAATGCCATTATATAATTACAACGGAAGGGGAAAAATCCACTTCTTTTGGCAGCCGTGAAGCCAACAATACAGGACCTTGACAGGAGCAATGCTGCTGACAAACTCAAAGCCGATTTATACAAATTTCCAAAAGCAACAGAATCTACTTTTTAAGGAGCGAGCAAGAGACCGTTGAGGTCTAAAAAGGCACATTATGCTAGACGATAAAACATACTTTGGGTCCCTGGAATCAAGTATGTTCTATGTTACCTCCCACCAGAGCAACTGTGGACTGTCAATCAAGTCAGAGAAAGAGGATTCCTTTGTAAAAGGATTGTTAGTAACAGTGATTAAAAACGGATCTTTTGGGGAAGGGGGGGCTTTGATTAGTTGTTGGGCCTTGGCATGCCCACCCAAGGGGCAGAGTTCAAAATCCATGTCATTCAGTTGTATTGGGGCGGGTAGCCACGTAAACGAACACCACAATCAAAAGCACCACCACAGCCAAGGTGGGAAGCACCACCGTTGTGACTTGCTGACGGGCTTCGTGCATGGCTTGCTTTCTCTCCTTTTTGTCTTTGGATGTCTCTTTTTTGGGCTTCCCTTTCAGCTGTCTCATTCTCCTTCCTTCCTGGACCTCTCCTCAAGGAAATCTAACCAAAGAGGTGTCAAAAGGGGCAACCAAGAGATGTTTCTTCCGGTCGACCTCGTCTCTTTTGGCCTTGGATTGGGTCCGGTATAAAAACCTGGAAGACAGAGAAGAGAAAAAATGATAGTCCAGTGGAGGTGGATGGTGTTGGTTGGTCAGAGGCCTCCAAACATGGCAACTCAAAGACTTATGGACTTCAACTCCCAGAATTCCCCAGCCAGCGTATCTAACTGAGGAATTCTGGGAGTTGAAGTCCGCAAGTCTTAAAATGGCCAATTTTGGAGACTCCTGGTGTTGATGAACAAGAGTGACAGGGTTAATACTGAGAACTGCATCCTATGCAGCTGGGAGCTGACCCCTTAAAGCAGTGGCCCCCAACTTTTTGGGCACCAGGCAGTGGTGAAATCCATATTTTTTTACTACCGGTTCTGTGGGTGGCTTGGTGGGTGTGGTGTGGCTAGGTGGGCGTGGCTTGGTGGGCATGGCAGGGGAAGGATACTGCAAAATCTCCATTTCCAAACCACTCCAGGAGAAGAATACTGCAAAACCTCCATTCCCACCCCTCTCTGGGGCCAGCCAGAGGTGGTATTTGCCAGTTCTCTGAACTACTCAAAATTTCCACTACTGGTTCTCCGAACTACTCAAAATTTCCACTACCGGTTCTCCGAACTGCTCAAAATTTCTGCTACCGGTTCTCCAGAACCTGTCAGAACCTCCTGGATTTCACCCCTGGCACCAGGGATTGGTTTCGTGGAGAAAGGTTTTTCCACAGACTGGAGGGGTTGTGGTTTTTCCTGCTGCCTGCATTCTGTGGATGGGGCTTTGCTTTTTCTGCGGCCCGGTTGCTGGCATGCCACAGCCCGGTGCCAGTCCATTGGCCAGGGGTTGGGTACCCCTGCCCTAAAGCTTTTCCAAACTTTGCCAAGTTTTTACCTTTTTTTTAATGAGGTAGGTTTAGGTTTAGGTTTAGGTTTATTAAATTTGTATATCGCCCTTCTCCCGAAGGACTCAGGGTGGTGAACAGCCAAGATTAAAATACATGCAATATAAAAATTAAAATAAATTAAAACAGAATTAAATCAAATTGGCTTCCCAAAATTTAAAACCCTTTGCCCATAAAATAACCCATTAAAATTTTAAGCCAGCCTGGCTTGCTGAAATAGGAAGGTCTTCAAAGCTCGACGGAAAGAACGGAGGTCTGGGATCAGTCGTATTCCTGGGGATAGCTCGTTCCAGAGGGCGGGTGCCCCCACAGAGAAGGATCTCCCCCTGGGGGTCGTCAGTCGACATTGCTTGGCCGATGGCACCCTGAGGAAACCCTCTCTGTGGGAGCAGATTGGCCGGTGGGAGGTTATCGGTGGCAGAAGGTGGTCTCGTAAATACCCGGGCCCTAAACCATGGAGCGCTTTAAAGATGAGAACCAATACCTTGAAGTGCACCCGGAAGACCACCGGGAGCCAGTGCCTTTCTGTGAATAGCCAAGCTAATCCATTTATAAGAATATCTATAATAATTTTTTTTTTAAAAAAATGGTGATAGTAGTGAGAGAACAGCCCGAATCTCAACAGATTTCAGTAAACACAGCCCCCGAGTTTTCATGAGATATTTATTTAGCAAGAACCCTGAAATCTCTGAGATTGCAAAATGTTATTTATTCAAACAGACAAGTAGGAGAAATCAGTCAAGGCATACAAAACGTGTCCTCATTTCTACACAGTCAACTTATCTAGACTTATCCAATTTGGTAGGTTGCCGATGTGCTGGGATTTGATGTTTCAGATTATATGTTATATTATGGAGAGAAGAGGATACAATATTATTAAAGTAAAATCTCCTAGTTCTTGAGATGATGGGTGTATATTTCAGGTATCATGAATATTTTCTACTGAGCTATACAGGTAGTCATCGACTTAAGATCGGTTGCTTAACAACCATTTGAAATTACAATGGACCTCCCCAGAGCTACTTATGATCAGTTTTCAAAGTGATGACAGTCACATATACATACCATAGTCACATTTTGAGTGCTTGGCAACTAGCTCACTTTTATGTATGTTTGAAGCATCCCGCAGTCATGTGACCACAATGTGTGACCTTTTTTTTTTTGCCAGTTTCCAGCATTTATTTCCATGTCTGGCAAAAAAAAAACACCCACGGGGGGAAAATGGATTAGCTTTGATGCAAAAAATGTAGTGAAATTGGGCCCATCACATAATGTTCGATCTAGAACCACAACAATTTATGAGAAGATATTGGTTGATACCTGTAGTCACAGTGCAGACTGATATCTTTACCCTTCAGGCCATGCTTTGACCATAAAATATAAAACCCATATATCACTGTCACAATCATAACAAATGAAAAAACAACATAACATGAAAATTATGTGTATGTGTGTGTGTGTGTGTATTATACATACATACATACATTCTGGGGTGGGTTCTAAAATATTTTATTACCGCTTCTGTGGGTGTGGCTTATTTTGTGGGCATGGCTTGGTGGTGGGGTAATGTGACTGGGTGGGCGTGGCCAACTTTTTTTTTTTAACTTTTAAAAGCATTTTTTCTACAACCTTAAGAGGTTGCAGAAAACAATGCTTTGAAAAGCCTCTGCCGATGAGGCAACTCAGCTGAGATCGTCAGAAGCTTTTCAAAGCATTTTTTTTACCACCTCTTCCGACGAAGAGTTTGCAGAAAAAAATGCTTTGAAAAGCCTTTGCCAATCCCAGCTGAGCCGTGGGATCATCAGAGGCTTTTTTTTTACTTTTAAAAGCATTTTTTCGGCTGAAGAGATTGTAGAAAAAATACTTTTAAAAGTAAAAAAAAAAAAATCCTCTGATGAGGTGGGGTAAGCGAGTGGCGACAGGGTCGGGGACCGGTTCGGGGGCGTGGCCAGCCAATGTTATTACCGGTTCTCCGAACTACTACAAATTTTTACTACCGGTTCTTGTGAACCGGTGCGAACCAGGAGCAACCCACCCCTGATACATACATACATACATACATACTTACATACATACATACATACATACATACATACATACATACATATATATTACTTATATATATTATATATATCCTTGTTTGTTGTCTAGCTGGCTTCGGCCTGAGAAGCGGGAAAACTGATCAAAACAGTCATTTGAGGCTCTTATGCTGGTTAAAAAAAAAGCTAAATTGAAGATGACAGCATCTCTCTTAAAGGCCATCACTGTCACAATCATAATGAACGATAAAACAACATAACATGAAAATTATATAGAATCTACTTTATCCACCGTCAATGGCCCGTGATGGCACAAACCCGTGTTGTGCCCAGCTCTGCAATTACAGGCCTTTGAATTGACTGCCATTGCCAGGGCTGCAATCACCAAAATGGTTTGGACTGGGACAAAGAAGTGGGAGGCCTCAAGAAAGCAGTGAAATGAGTTTAAATCAAATTAATAGCACTTAGCAATAGCACTTAGGCTTATATACTGCTTTCACAGGGCTTTACAGCCCTCTCAAAGCAGTTTATAAAGTCAGCATATTGCCCTCAACAATCTGGGTCCTCACTTTACCCACCTCAGAAGGATGGAGTCAATCTCGAGCTGGTGAGGATTGAACCCCTGGCAAGTCAGCAGAATTAGCCTGCAATACTGCATTCTCATCATTGCACCACGATGGCTCAATGAAATATAGTTCATATTATACTCTGCTATTTTATTTTTCTGTTGTGTTAATTTTTTTTTTCTTCAGAGACTTTTGGAAAGGTTTTGGGACACATCAACAGACCTGGGCCTATTAATTATACATCCAATACAATACCTCTCTTGAGAGCTCCACTGTATTTGCAGCACAGGTAATCCTCGATTTACGACCACAATTGAGCCCAAATTTTTTGTTGCTAAGAGAGACTGTTATTCAGTGAATTTTACCCCATTTTACGACTTCTCTGGCCATAATTGTTAAATGAAACAGTGCAATTGTTAAGTTAGTAACATGGTTGTTAAGTGAATCTGCCTTCTCCGTTGACTTTGCTTCTCAGAAGGTCGCAAAAGGGGATCCCATGACCCCGGGAGACTGCAACCCTCACATGTACATGCTGCTGCTAGGTGCCCAAATTTTGATCATGTGACCATAAGGATGCCGTGACGGTTGCAAGTGCGAGGACTGGTCATAAGTCACTTTTTTCAATGCTCTTGCAACTTTAGAATAGAATAGAATAACAGAGTTGGAAGGGACCGTGGAGGTCTTCTAGTCCAACCCCCTGCTTAGTCAGGAAACCCTACACTACTTCAGACAAATGGTTATCCAATCTCTTCTTAAAAACTCCCAGTGTTGGAGCATTCACAACTTCTGGAGGCAAGTTGTTCCACTGATTAATTGTTCTAAGTGTCAGGGAATTTCTCCATAGTTCTAGGTTGCTTCTCTCCTTGATTAGTTTCCACCCATTGCTTCTTGTCCTGCCCTCAGGTGCTTTGGAGAATAGCTTGACTCCCTCTTCTTTGTGGCAGGCCCTGAGATATTGGAAGACTGCTATCATGTCACCCCAGTCCTTCTTTTCATTAAACTAGACATGCCCAGTTCCAGCAACCGTTCTTCATGTTTTAGCCTCCAGTCCCCTAATCATCTTGGTTGCTCTCCTCTGCACTCTTTCTAGAGTCTCCACATCTTTTTTACATCATGGTGACCAAAACTGAATGCAGTATTCCAATATTTTGTGCAGTTGCTAAACAAAATTACCTGCCCCCAAGTTCCCTTTTCCTGTGCTGAAATCAGCAAAGAAATTTTAATTGTAAGCCGCTCTGAGTTGCTTTGCAGGGTGAGATGGGCGGCCTATAAATTTAATAAATAGATAAGCTGAATGTGTTTGGCTCTTTAGAAAGCTATCTTCGTTTTTCATTCCCTTTTCATCCCTTCAGCAACCTAAAGATTCCTCATTCCCTGCCTTGGAGGATCAACAATATAAATACCTCAGCCTGGAGTAATTTCTGACAGATTCAAGCCACAGTTTTGCTTACTTAAACTAAGCCTCACAAAAGTCACTGAAACATAACTTGCGAGCAGATGCGTGATGAATGGGGCCTTAAATTACGAAGTGAAGTGAAATACTGGAGCGCAAAATATTTCACCCTAAAAAGCAATGGGATGAGAGAATCACAAGCTGTGGTGGTTTAAATTTGACTTTCTTTCATTTGGAGGCCCCTGGATGAGATGGGCAGCCACAGAGATTTAAGAAAACAAATAATGAACAAACCCAACCCGATGTATCACAACTTTTCTGCTACTGTTTGGCTTTTCAAAATAGGCTTTTGCAGACCATTCTTTGGATCTCATTTAAACTTAACTAAATCCAGTGGCTGCCAACTCTGGAGTTAAGTAGCAACTAAAACAGGGAATAAGAAATGACCAAATTCCATTCAACTTTGACCCCATCTAAAGTCTCTACAGAGCTTTAGACAAACAGCTAGTTCCTCTATAATTTTTAGGGTTATTCTACACAGAATTACAGTGGCATTTATTTGTGGCAATTTAAAGACTAAAAAAAGCAATATATGTGCCCATTATTTTGTTTAACCTTAAGCTGTTAAAGACCACTATTATTAATCATGCTTCCAACACAGATTTGAACCGAAAGCTAAATTGTTATGATTACTACATATAAATAGATTCATATCTATCTGAAAAGCCTTTACACGGATGCTTAAGTCTCTGTTTTTCTGGTAGCTTGGTTTTCTTGTAAATGAGAGCTGAGCGGCTTGCAGCCTAATCATCTTGACTTTATAACGCACACAATCTCGCTAAGGGTATTAAGCAAAAATACAAGTTTCTGCAGTCCTGTGATTGCACTTTGGGTGCTCGGCAACCAGCTCATATTTACGGCTGTTTGCAGTACCATACCACACGGTCAAGAAGCAAAGCCTGACAAAGTCTTTGCACATTTCCAAATGCACCGATTTCAGGGGCTTCACAGTGCTGAAATTATCGAAATTATGCAGAACTGTAATGCTGCACGATGGCTCAGCGGTTAAAGATGCTGAGTTTGTCAACTAGAGAGCTGACAGCCAGGTTCGAGACCCAAGTTCCGCCCGACGGGGTGAGCTCCTGTTACGTGCTCAAGATCCTGCCCAATTAGCAGTTTGAAATTATGCAAATGTAGGTAGATAAATAGGTGCCACTTCAGTGGGAAGGTAGTAGAATTCCATGCACCTTTGGCGTAGAGACATGCTGGCCACATGATCATGGAAATTGTCTTTGGACAATGCTGGCTCCCTCAGCCAAGAAACGGAGATGAGCATTGTGTCCTAGAGTTGGACATGACTGGACAAGGAAATCTTTCCCTTTCCCTTTTTTGCAAAACTATGATCAAATCTCATAAAATATTCCAGGGCTGAGATGCTTACCTTTGGTTGGTGATTCTCTTTCTATAATCCTTTTTCTAAAGCCTTGCTTTGTCCAAAACACTGGCTCACACCACCAACAAACAGACATTCATGCTGAAAGAAAATAAATAACTTTATTTTAGAAAGCTGGCCTAGGAACTTCCATTGATAGCTTAATAATATAGAATTCTTTAATTGGCCAAGTGTGATTGGACACACAAGGGATTTGTCTCCGGTGCATAAACTCTCAGTGTACATACAAGCAATAGGTGATAAATCATGACCATAGTCATCGTAAAAATATATAAATCATAAGATACAACACAGTGATAATCATAATACTAAATAAGTAATCAACATATATCATGCTTGGATACTAAATAAACAATATAAATTGTAAGATACAAGCAACAAAGTTGTAGTCATAAGATAAAGAGGTAATAGGAAAGAGGCTAAGAAGAACAGAATACAGCCTTACCAGATACTTAATAGATAATAGAACAATTAATTACATAATTATTAATTAATTATAGCCTTACTGATGCTTAATAGAATAATTAATTACTGTATAAATCCAAACAGAATTATCAAAAAGTACTTAAACTCTCAAGAGTTTGGTCTAGCGGTTAAAGCATCAGGCTAGAAACCAGAAAAGTTCCAATCCCGCCTTGGGCATGAAACCAGCTGGGTGATTTTGGGCCAATCACTTTCTCTCAGCCCTAAGAAAATGACAATGGCAAACCACTTTTGAAAAACCTTGCCAAGAAAACTGCGAGGACTGTCCAGGCAGTCTCCACGAATCAGACATGACTGAATGGAAGAAAAAAAAATATTTAAACCCTATACAGACACAGAAGAGAGCTTCTATAGAATAATGTAAATCATAATCTCTTACTTACGACTGGTCACTTAGCATCTCTTCGAAGTTACAACATACCTCCCTTGGGGCTACTTACGACCCGGAAGGTGAAATACAAAACGAACAAAACAAAAGCATACATTCAGCACTAGCAACAACGAAAAAGAAAAAGATTGGTGTTCAAAAAGGAGAGAAAAAGGTGATCCAAACGCCAAATAAATTTAACATTTAACATATAGGCGGATTCAACGTTCTGATGGCTTTCCCGGTTTTCCCCACCCAAAGAAAAGTCCAAGTCCCTGCCCAGCACCCACAAGTCCATCACATGGTCCAATCAAAGCACCGTCTCAACTGGAGATGCCTCCCAGCTCCAGCCCTCCAGGTGCAGGGCAAGATGTCCTTGACTCTCTGAGAAAAGAATGTTATTATGACTATACATCACCCCTGCTCCATACAATCCCCCCTCCCAGTTTCCCACAGTAGGAAATATGGCAGGCCTGAAGGCCCAATGCAAAAGATGGTTTCCAGGCCCGACACCGACCCCGTAGTGAACCATGGGTTCACTTAGCAATTGCTACAAAAAAATGTAATAAAATACAGTTGCCCATATTAAGGATCCGTTTCAAAGTGAATATCACCTGTAGCTGGCTAGAATTCCAACAGAGGCATATTATATAGCAGTATTGTGTTGAAAATCTCATTTATGCTTAGATTTTTTTTTAACCCCAGGCTAACTATTTTGCCCCTAGGCTTCCATAATATTTGCTTCGCATCTACCTGGACTATCTTTTTTTAATAACTGCATCTCTGTTATTATAAATTTAATAAAACAAATCTTGTTTTGAACATTGATCTGAACAGCAGCTGACCCATGATATTAAGTGATGATAGCAAAAATGATAGTTCCACAATTATTGGATTTGTCACCTTCATAAGATTGCAAATCATGGCTAAATCGAAACACACGGCTGGAAAGAGCGTTAACCATGGTGCAATATTCTAATGTTGATGATCATCTACATCAGGGGTGTCAAACTCAAGGCCCGGGGGCCGGATACGGCCCACAGGGTCCTTAGATCTGGCCCATGGGTCTGCTCTGGAAACAGCAAAGGACGGGCCCGTGGTGCTTCTGCCAGTGAAAACAGAGCTCGGGAGAGCTGCATGCAACCCTCCCGAGCTCTGTTTTCACTGGCAGAGGGTTTCAGGAAGCTGTCACAGCCAGTTTTCACTGGCAGAGTGCTCGGGCCACTACAGGCACCCCCAACAGGAGTGACGTTGAGCTGGTCATGCCTAACCTCGGCCATGCCAACCCCGGCCCCCCAAGATTAAACACAATCCTGATGCGGGAAGAAATCAAGTTTGACACCCCTGATCTACATTAACCTAGGGGTGAAATCCAGCAGGTTCTGACAGGTTCTGGAGAACCGGTAGCGGAAATTTTGAGTAGTTCAGAGAACTGGTAGCGGAAATTTTGAGTAGTTCAGAGAACCGGCAAATACCACCTCTGGCTGGCCCCGGAGTGGGGTACGAATGGGGATTTTGCAATATCCTTCCCCCAGGAGTGGGGAGGGAATGGGGATTTTGCAGTATCCTTTCCCTGGAGTGGGGTGCGAATGGAGATTTTGCAGTATCCTTCCCCTGCCACACCCACCAAGCCACGCCCACACCCACCAAGCCACGCCCACAGAACCGGTAGTAAAAAAAAATTGGATTTCACCACTGCATTAACCCTAACAATGGACTGTTTTAGATCAGGGGTTAATGTCGATATGCAAACCTCAAGTTTGTAGAGATATGGTTCTAATACAGAACACACAGCTAAAATTTTAAAAAAAAATAACTTCCAACAGCAAAAAGCAAAAAACAAAAAACAAGAAACTTGTAACACACACCTTTTGTTTGCTCCAAAAATACATTTCTTTTGGGCAAATGGAGAGGCGGTATTATTATTTCTCTTCTACCTCCAGTTCTATGTTTTCAAGGGTAAAAAGCTTTTAGTTATATGCAAAGCAATTCTGGGGAAATTAGGAGGCACACAAAATTACTATCCTTGAGACGGCAGATAGGTATTTTTCTTCCTTGCCAAATTACATGCCTGAATCAAAACTGACCGGCTATTAGCAAAACATTGCTTTTAACGTAAGTGCAGGTTTGAGAGTTTCCATGCTTTCCAATTGCATTTGGAAAAATGAGTTTCAGCTCTGCCTCCAGCCAGAATGACAGAAAAGTAGGGGAAAAAAGGACATTTGATCAGATTTTAATAGTTCCCAATGTCAGGAGATGGCTTTGTAGGTCTGAGATACCTTCTCTAGGAGGGTGTGAAAATGAAGGGAGGAAATACAAATAGTCCTCGACTTACGACGACAATGGAGCCCAAAATTCCTGTTGCTAAACGAGACAATGGTGAAGTTAATTTTGCCCCACTTTTCAGCCTTTCTTGCCACCGTTAAGTGAATCACTGCAGTTGATAAGTTAGTAACTTGGTTGTTAAGTGGATCTGGCTTCCCCCTTGATTTCGCTTGTCAGAAGGTCACAAAATGGGATCACACGACCCCGGAATACTGCAACCATCCTAAACATGAGCCAATTGCCAAGCATTTGAATTTTGATCACATGACCATGGGGATCCTTGCAATGATCGTAAGCGTGAAAAATGGTCATACGTTTTCCTCTGGAAACTGGCACGTGCTTCCAGTTTCCAGGAAAAAAAATATTATGCCACAATGATTTCCTTAACTACTACCAAAAAGTTGCAAAATCAAGTCGGGTCATGTGATGATCCACTTTAGGACCATCATGACTTACGACAGTAATTGCCAGGCTCAGTTACGATCTAAATCAAGGACTACCTATAATTATGGAATTTCAAGACTTTCAAAGTAAAGCTGAATACTGTTCTTATACGAAAACAGCTAGATGAGCCGCGGTGGCGCAGTGGTTAGAATGCAGTACTGCAGGCTACTTCTGCTGACTGCCAGCTGCCTGCAATTTGGCAGTTCAAATCTCACCAGGCTCAAAGTTGTCTCAGCCTTCCATCCTTCCGAGGTGGGTAAAAGGAGGGCCCAGATTGTTGGGGGCAATATGGTGACTCTGTAAACCACTTAGAGAGGGCTGTAAAGCACTGTAAGGTGGTATATAAGTCTAAGTGCTATTGCTACTGTGTTTCCCCGAAAATAAGACCCTGTCTTATATTTTTTGAACCCTGAAATAAGCGCTTGGCCTTATTTTGGGGGAGGTCTTATTATTTCGGGGCACATGGAGCAAGGCAGGGCTCCTCTTGCCGTCTTACCTGATTTCCAGCTCTGTCTCCCTAACCCTAACCAGAGGAAATGGTGGGGACCGGCTGCACATGCATTTAAATATTTTTGGGAAGGGCTTATTTTTGGGCACATCTTTTTTGGGGGGGTCTTATTTTGAGGGGGGTTATTTTAGCGCATGCGCTCAAAAGCCCGATTGGGCTTATTATCAGTGGGTGTCTTATTTTTGGGGAAACATGGTAGATGATCGTAAATCAGTCATTCTTTCTCAGTCCTAGGAAGAAGGAAATGGCAAACCACTTATGAAAAATGTTGCCAGGAAAGTTGCAAGGCCTCAGCCAATACCACCACCTCCTCCTCCTCCTCCTCCTCCTCCTCCTCCTCCTCCTCACCACCATTGTTTATCCACTGCAGGATGAAGGCCTCTTCTGCATGTTTCCAACCAATATGTTTCCTCATAATATTGGAGAATAAAAAAACTGGTAAATAGTTTAGTTTATAGTTTATTTGATTTGTATACAGCCCTACTCCCGAAGGACTCAGGGCGGTGAACAGCCAACAATAAAATACATAAATACACAAAATTTAAAAACCCGATAAAATCAAATTAAATTATTTGGCCCAGACAAATTAAAATACCCCAATAATTTAAAAACAGATTAAAATTTACGTATTTAAAAAGGGAAGAGATCAGGCCAAGCCCGCTTGATGGAATAAAAAGGTCTTCACAGCACGGCGGAAGGAGCGCAGATCCGGGATCCTCCGTATCTCCGGGGGGAGCTCATTCCAGATGGTAGGTGCCCCCACAGAGAAGGCTCTCCCCCTAGGGGCCGCCAGTCGACACTGTTTGGCTGACGGCACCCGGAGGAGTCCCTCTCTATGAGAGCGTACTGGCCGGTGGGAGGCTATTGGTGGTAGTAGGCGGTCCCGTAAATAACCAGGCCCTAAGCCATGGAGCGCTTTAAAGGTGGTAACCAAAACCTTGACACACACTAAAG